CCCCCCAGTTTCTATACTGAGCATGACGCCATATGGTGTGGGATGTGTCTTTGGACAGTTTGGAGCAGCTGGCCTGGTTGTGCCCCCTCCCAGCTTCTTGTGCACCTGGCAAAGCATGGGAAGCTGAAAAGTCCTTGACCAGTGGTAAGCACTACTGAGCAAAAACTAAAACATCAGCGTGTTATCAGCATTATTCTCATCCTAAATCCAAAACACAGCACTGTGCCAGCTACTAGGAAGAAAATTAACTCTATCCCAGCCAAAACCAGGGCAGGAAGCAAAGAAAACACATTTAGAACCATTTCCTACAAACCCTGCTTGCAAGAGGCTAAATATAAATGATAGCCCAGTGGAAGCAGAGGAAGAAAATACACTCACCTCCAATAGGTGGTCCCAGCAATATTGTGCAGCACTCCGCAATGGTGACCAGGCCAACAGCACTTGTGAATCGGGCAGCTCCCACAAGGTCCATGAGCGTTTCAAAGAGCATGGCACAAACCATGCCAAAGGCCAAGCCGAAAAAGATGGAATAAACGACAAGACCCATGTAGCTGGAAGCCAGCGGGCACAGAAGGTGGCAGGCACCGTTGAAAGCAATGGAGAAGCTGAAAAAGTATTGAATCCGTGGCCTCACCCACTTGCTGTTCGCAATGATGCCAGTGGTAGGTCGGGCAATCATATCCACAATAGCAAGGATTGAAAGGAGGAAAGCAGATGAATATTCATCAACACCGATGTGCTTTGCATAGGGTGCCAGAAAAACAATGGGGGCAAAAAATCCCAGGAACATGAGCACATTTCCGATCAAGTAAATCAAGAATCCTCTGTGCTTAAAGAGGGAAAAATCAAGGTACTGATTGATTTTTTCACAACAGTCTTTTCCTCCTTCCTCTTCTGTTTTGGTCTCCATGGGGATGTTCGTGGGACTACTCATTTCCAAGGCATCCTTAGTGAATTCTTCTTTCAGAGCATCCTTTCCTTCCTCAGTTGCCTGCGTTTTGACTGGTGCTGTGGCTGCCCCAATGGGTCTGAAGAGGGCTCCTGCCACACAGCAGTTTAATAAAATTGCCCCAAGAATTAAAAAGCTGCCCCTCCAGCCAAAATTGTCAAAAAGGAACTGGTTGAGAGGAGCCAGGGTGCAAAGCATCACAGGGCTCCCCGCCATAGCAAGGCCGTTCGCGATGGGTCTTCTCTTTAAAAAGTATTTCCCTATGATTATCACTGATGGCTGGAGGTTGAGAGCAAGGCCAAATCCTGGAATAGAGAATAATAGTTGAGATACACAAAGGAAGATTTGAGACCCATTTATCATCAGCTCATTATTTTAGGCAAATTCATGGACAATGGGTCCACTGGCAGCTCTTCAACATGATAGTCTGGATGCAAACTTTGATCAAGGTATCCCTAAGCTTCTGACTGCCACGTTTGGGTAACCAGACCCCAGAAAGACACTTTTGGTCAGAGAACGCCCCTTCCTTTCGCACTGCAAATCCCTTGGGTGGCAAACCTAGCACAAAGAGTTTGCTTCAGAATCAATTGAAACTATACCCTCAATGAATGCTGGCTGGTTTTCTTGAGACACAGCAGCCTTCTTGGAGGAGAGGATGGATCTATTAAAAAAAAAAAAACAACTCCCAGTTTGAGGAAGGTTGTTCTGGCTTGGACAGTGCTAACCACCAAAGTGCATCCATCTCATGTATGGCTGGGGCTGGCACCCCCTTCCATGGGTGGTGGGCACCCAACCCCGCCGCCGGGCAGACAGACCTGCTCAGAAAAAGGCATCACACATCTCAGCCACTACTAATGTGGTGGAGTGAGCAATTCAGGTCTGATGCAAAAGATTAAGAGGTCTGCAAGTACACAGCAAAACAGCTACTGAGGAGGCTAATTAAACAGGACCCTAGAGTGTTTCTTTTAATTAAAATATATTTTTATTGCATTTAGATATATAAATGGTATTATAAATCTGCATTGCTAATTCAGTTAGCCAGCTTTTCTTGCACAGGTGAAATCCAAAGGCAGAGATACAAAATGCTGTGATGGCCTCAACTTTCTGTAGTTGTTTGAGAGCACTGGCATATAATAATCTCTTCTTTTCAAACATTTCTATGGTGTGCAGTATTTCCTTAAGAAATTAAATTTTCAGAACTCCATCAAAATGACATTTAAAAATCATGCCACATATTTTCCACCCTATCATCCAAGAAAGAATGAGCCACATTAGAACAAAGCAGAAATGTAATCCTTGAAGTGATTATACCAGAGAACATGAATCCTGAAAATAGGGTCATGCAGATTTTTTCTTGTTCATTAGTCTATATAATTAGTTTGTTTAACTGTGCAGTACATAATTAGGCATATTGCTTTACAGAAGAGAATTTAGAAAGGTCAAGGTCCTCAAAATTAATTAAGGAACACTATCATTAGCCGCTGATAGAGTAGAATCCAACTGATGCAGCAGAATTCAACTGATGTTGGATAGCTTCAGTTTGAACGGTTATACAAAATTATGGTTTTTGCCAAGTGTAAGATTCATTTTTTTTAATTACTTGGAAGTTTACAACATTAAAAATAAATTTAAATGGCAACATATTAAAATTAGTCTTGATATGAAACACATTCTCAGCATGAACTTTTCTAGATAGTCCATATATTCAGTAGGGCACATGTTTGGGAAGTACAGCCTGCTCATAACACATAAGGGGCCAAATTCACCCCAGTGAGAGAGCTGACTTGAGAACTATGGAGGCAAACCACAGCCTGGGTTAGAGAATACCCCTGACAGTGCTCAGATATAGGAACACACCTTCTTTCACCTGAGAAGATGCAACACTGTGGATTAGAGTTTGCTTTAACTCCGTATTTCCCAGGCTGGTAGGTAAGGGCAGAAATTGAACCATCATTTCCACAGAATCATTTTTGGTAGGGACCTACCACATTGTGTGGAGAAAGAAAATCAGACTGGATGCCAGCTACCCACTTAACCAATAATCAACTCAAATTTTTTTATTATGTGAACATTAATTTGCCAGTCAGACAAATCTAATTTAATATTACCTCATGCTCTTCCCATTAATTAAATTTGGAGAGTTTCAAATCGACTGACTGGAATTTCAATTTACTTTAAGCTTTTGGCTGACTTTAGTTGGAAATATTTATATCCATTTTATTCCAGTTTTCAGAAACTACAGCAGCTTTTCCATGGCTGAAATTGTTACTCAAATAACCACATTTTCTCCCCAGGGATATGACAGAGAGGCCTATCAGTGGTGTTGCATGAACAAAAGCAAGCCAGTGCCAGAGGGAGCATCCTTCCCTAGATTAAATACATCTCCCTCATATTAGAAGGAAATAAGTGGTGCTTCAGGAGCGAGCTGTGTAGCTATTGATCTTGTTCTTACTTTATTAGCAAGGGAAGATCCTACCAGGTATTTCAATGCTCAACATTAACAGCTGAGGCAAAGACTCCAGTCTCACTAGTCAACATGCTTCACCCTAGATCCCATTTTATTTCATGGTGGTCTAATTGGTACAGATTGAACTAAACTCTGACCAGTCATTATTGCCTTGTATTTAGTTTTGAAATTTGCTGCTATTACCTCAGACTTGAAGAAGAGGTTGCATGCCTAAACACCTATTTAATGCATCCAGGCTGGCATCTATCCAGGTCGACAGCTTGCAAACCCCATTTCTTTGTCTAAGTGCTATAGGGAAACAAGTGAGGACGAGAACATGGGGTTTATAGTGTATGCAAAGTGCCTCGTGCAGCCCACAGCTCGGTGCCATCAAGGACAGAGCTGCCTCAGAGCTGCCTCTGACAGCAGAGCCCAGCCCCTGCTCTGCATGCAAATGGAAAAAGACATAATCAAGAAAGTAATTGAGATTGCCGTGTCTAATCCCTCCACCATAAACAGATACTTCCCACTCTGCTCCCCTGAAAAGATTTCTATTAATATGCCAAAGGCACAGGACTGTAGCAGGGACCTCCTAGTATCAACTGTCTTGTTCTTATCTCCACCCCTGCAAATTACATGAACACAGTCTTTTACATCAGTCTGTTTCCCTTTCAAGCTAGTAGGAAGGAGGCTAGAAAGAGTCTGATGTTTACAGGCTGCTTTACAGTCCTTGCAAATCGCCTTTATGGAAGTCTCTCTCCTCATACAGTAACGCTGTCTCAGCCATGTGATGATGAGCAGGCAGCTTCATAATTGCCCTTGAATGCTTCCACGATAGGCCTGACCAGCAAACGCACTGCAAGCGTAATTAGAGGCATCAAGCATGTTAGCAGGATTACAAACATCTTCCCTTCTCTGTCAAATTAATATTCCTTCCCCAGCACACACACCCCATGCCTGGAAATGATGTGTTATTAGCTAAGACCTCATCCATGCAGCTGCCCTCATTCAGCAAGCAGGAGGAAAAGATGTACACAACAAAAAAAAAAGTGCTTTGTGCTGAGGAAAAATCCCAGCATTAAAGATGAGGAGACATGGGGGCAGTTTGCCCCTGTACCCTGTTGCTGGCATGTGCGCATTGAGCACAGCTCATGCTGTCAGCTCTCCGGGGTGGGCAACGGACCAGATCTGCAAAGATACTCGGGGACCGCAAAAGAACAAGGTCTTCATAAATCCTAGGCCCATTGGGATTAGACCCAAAATGCCCTCCTGGCACGTTTTTAGACAAGTACCTTTGAAAATAGGATTTGGTGCCTTCCTACAGCACTGTTCCTTGCCTGAGCCCTTCTGCTCACCAAAATGCATATATGTTTAGCAAAGAGTTTATGGTTTCTATGTGCGAATCCAGCGTTAGTCAACTTGCTAGAGGACACTTGTTTATCAGGGAATGATATGTCCTGGTTTCGGCTGGGATAGAGTTAGTTTTCTTCCT